ACGCCCGCGGATCGGCGGCTCTGATACCAAAAATGTCACGAACTCGCAATTCGGCACCGGCGTCTCGCCTAGTACGTGGTTGCAAGCTTCTGAGTTTGAGAGATTTTGGGGATTTGAGAGGAAGAACAGAGGAGGAAGACAAGGTAGGTAGGATTAGTTTTATATTTCTTCTCATCGATGCCTTGACTCAATTGGTCAGGTCTGTATTTATACACCGACACATGGGCTCTCACGGGTTCAGCCCAACATGATGAAGTGGCCCAAAGACTCAATACACCCAAGAGTACTGTAACACACCACGACAACATAAGAACATGACAACAAGGTCAATGGAGGCAGCTGGCGGAAAAGAGAACCCGGCGGCGCCTCCGCACCTGTATCTGCCATCGCTTGCACAGCTCCAACTGTGTCCAGGCTCGGGGTCGAAGGGGTGGCGCGGTGGAGGGAGGCACAGGGCTGCTGGATTTGGCCGCGCCGTCGCCTGCCGTGGCCCCATCATCCGCCACCCTGTCGCCCGCAGCCATCCCATCGCCCGTAGCCACCCCGTGGCCCGCCGCTGAGCCCGTCGCCCGCTGCAGCGCCGTTCGTAGTTGCCTAAACCGCCGTCGCCTATCGCCCCTGTCGACCGCCGCTGCCGTCGCCCGTGGCTGCAACTGCCTCTCTGTTTCTCAGATCCGAAAAAATGGGATGGTGATGGGGTTGGTTACGGCACGTGAGAGCAACACAAGGTGTGTGTGTATGTATATATATATACATATATAGATACATATATATATATATATATATATATACATATATATATATATACATATATATATATATATATATATATATATGTATATATGTATATATGTATATATATATGTATATATGTGTAGAGAGACGCTGATGTCGAGTAGTAAACAATTTACTGGTAGAAGGGGGCGCAGAGAGAGGTGCCGTGGGAAGGTGCGGGTGGCTGGCTGGGGGGTGGGGTGGGGGAGGGGGTGGGGGGGTAGGTTGTGGGGGAGCATTTTAGTTATTACGCACCCCACGTACGGTATAGTATGTGTGTGTGTATATATATTTAGTTATTACGCACCCCACGTGCGGTATAGTATGTGTGTGTGTGTATATATATACACACACACATACTATACCGTACGTGGGGTGCGTAATAACTAAAATGCCCGCCTGCTGCTGCCGCCGCCGCCCGCCGCGCGAGCTTGCCGGCCGTGGGAGCCCGCCGACGCCGCCACGGCGCGAGCCACCGCTCGAGCCCGCCCGCCCGCCGCTGCCGGCCCCGGGAGCCCGCCGCGGCTCCTGCCGCCGCCGCCCGCCGCCGCCTGCCCCGCCTCGTGAGCTCGCGCGCCGCTCTCGGCCGGTCGCCGCCTGCCCCGCCTCGCGCCGCTCTTGGCCGGCCGCCACAGCCGCCCTGTTCCTGTGGATGAGAGGAAGTGAGAGAGAGAGAGAGTAGAAAGTGTGTGTGAGAGAGAGAGGAGAGGAAGAATCAAGAGGATAAGGTTGGGGGTGAAAAAAAATGGTGGATTTTTTTTAAATGTAAAAATCAATTTTTATTTTATATGTGGCTCTTTAAAACGAATTTAAAGGCACTAAATCAACTCATACGAAAAAGTTGTTAAAAACAAAGTTGTATAACTTATTGAGATCTATCAATTTTATTTTGGTCATTTCTCCATCCGAGTTTGATTAAACTATATAAAATTTGAATTTAAAAATATAAGAAATTCAAATAACTTTCCGGGTAGTAAATGATTTCAAATAAAAAAATTGTCAACAACAAAGTTGTATAACACATCAACATCTACAACTTTTATTTTGGTTATTTTTCTATATGACTTTGTTTGAACCGTTTGAATTTGAATTTCAAAATATGACAACTTCAAACAATATTTTGAAATACTAAATGATTTCAACTGAAAAAGTCATCAACAACAAAGTTATATAATTCATCAAGATCTATAACTTTTTATTTTGGTCATTTCTTCATCCGACAAAGTGATAGTAACATTATTCACAAAATTTGCATCTATCTCATTTGGTTCTATAAACTATAAGAGAGATATGTAAACTTTGTGAACAATATTATTATCAATTTATCGGATGAAGAAATGACCAAAATAAAAGTTGTATGTCTTGATGAGCTCTACAACTTTCATGTTCATGACTTTTTCAGCTAAAATTAATTACATCTTCAAAATATTATTTGAAGTTTTGAAATTCAAATTTTTAATTGATAAAACAAAGTCACAATAAAAAATGGCTAAAATAATAGCAGCAAGAACACAATAACAATAGAGCATGATTTTAGAAACATTTAGGAAAAAGAATCATCCAATTTGGAGTTCATATGAGTGAGATAAATTAGTTTCAAATTACCAAATTTTATTTTTGCATACGGCTTCTTAAGTCACCCATATGGAAAAATTGATTTTTTTTTCATGCGGGTCCTTAAATGGTCCACACACAAACAAATGAAAAAATTCAATTATGAAAAATAACCACTCAAATGTTTAAAAACTTTCAATTGAAATGTTCAACCTAAAATTTAAAATATTCAACCAATTTTCAAAAATTTCAATGTGCCTACGAAAATTTAAGTGATACACATTAATTTATTTGTTTCATGATAACATAAATTTGTATGGAAAGTAAACATAGCATTTTCTATCTCCCCCTTGCCCTTATAAATAGAGATAAAATTTGAAAATATTGATGTTTTGTTTTTGAAAACTAATGGCTACATATCTTCCTCGTTTTAAGAAGCTTATTTTGAGGGGTCTTGATATTTTGATAATTATTCGTTACCGTATTCGTTTCGATTCGTATTCGCTCCGTATCTGTATTCGATAATATTCGATTCCGTTTTCGTATCCGGGTTTCCAATTCCGATTTCGATTCCAAGAAAAAAATATGAAAACGAATATGATAGAGCTAGTTTCCTACCGTATTCGATCCGTTTTCATCCCTAGACGGAGGTTACCGACTGTGGGAAAAAAAAAAGGGAAACGTGGGGGCGGGGGTTACCGAGGGTGGAGACGGGTGGGGGTAGGGTGGAGTGGGGTGGGGGGGTAGGGGGGTGGGGGTAGGTTGTGAGGGGAGCATTTTAGCTATTACGCATCCTGGGTGCGGTTTAGCGCTTATATATATATATATATATGTCGGTGACATAGGACCGGGAGTATCATGACTTAGAGACTTGAGGCAGACACGATCACCCACGTGGCCTAACCCCCTCGGGGGGGGGGGGGGGGTCGGGCCCGAGGGTGATACGGCCGCCCTTCTCTTTGTCTCCCCGAGAGGTCGGACCGCTCCCGTCTCGGCCCCGAGGGCCGAGGCGCCCCGACCCCTTGTGGGTTTTGCGCCGCGTATATGGGGTAGGTGAGCATAGCGGGGCTCACCTAACCGCATTTATTGCGGTTTGGACGAGCGCGTTACGCCACATGTAGCGCAGTATGGCACGCTCGTTTATCCGGTCTGTGACCGGTCACAGATCGGTCAGATTGCGGGTTAGGTGGCAACAGGCGATCTGACACACGCCTCGCCCCGTCCCGTCAAGATGAGAGTCTCTAGGCACTCGTCCCTAGCCGGAGCCAGCGTGCTAGCTCCTGGAGATGGCACGTTGGTCCTGGTCAGATATATGCCAGGCTTTATCCCAACCATTATAAGCAAGACGTTGTATGAAGAAGGGCGAACATGCAGATTGCTAAACTGACACGTGGTGGACAAAGGTGACCGGTCTGTGACTGGTCTGACACTGGTTATGTCGCCGGAAGACAACCGTGTTCCCACATTGCACCTGCTTCCGGCGGAGTGGAGGTAGGTATGGGCCGTCCCATCAGAAGGGTCACTCGGGCAGCAGCCGTTGCAAATCTCCGCCCATTTATGAAGAGATGACAGGGTGATCCCCGAGGTCAGACGAACGAGGACGCGTGGCCACACTCAAAAACAGGCAGTGTTTCAGCTTCCAAGAGAAGGCAAGCCAAGTTTTACTATAGATAGGATGGGCCCCCACCCAAAAAGAGAGAGAGGGAAAAGTGGTGCATGTGGTATCCCCTTGAGATATAAAAGGAGGACCTTGCCCACTTAAGAGGGGAGGGGGGAAGGGGGGATGATCTGGAGAGGAGATCCCACGAGAGAAAAAAAAAGGAGAAGAGGGTTTTTAGAATAAGAGCTCTCTGGCTCTCCAGCTCTTTGTAGCTTCTTCATACACAGATCCACCAGAACACAGGAGTAGGGTATTACGCTTCTCAGCGGCCCGAACCTGTATACATCGCCCGTGTCTTGTGCTTTTTCCATTCTCGCGAACTTTCCACAGACTAGGAGCTTAGAATCTCACCTAGGGCCCCTGGCCGAACCGGCAAAGGGGGGCCTGCGCGGTCTCCCGGTGAGGAGCCCCACGCTCCGTCAATATATATATATATATATATATATATATATATATATATATATATATATATATATATATATATATATATATATGTATGTATGTATGTATGTATGTATGTATGTATGTATGTATGTATGTATGTATGTATGTATGTATGTATGTATGTATGTATGTATAGGAAAATGCGGATTTGAGCTCGAGCTCACATGTACCTATAAAATCTGCCGTTCGACTGCGCAGAGATTCGTGCGTGTGTTGATCTACGAGGGGAGCGACCGAAGTTGTTAGGGCGAGGGTACATATATGGTTAAGGTAGAAAAAACGACATATTCTCTACATGCCGATATACACTTAATCATAGTGAAAGCCCAAAATGCCCTTTGCTGCTATCACTAGCTTTAGACAGGGCTAAAGCAGGCTAGGACACTCAAGAGAGACTGAGTCAGACATGGCATAGCGAAAGTGGGTTCCACCTGCTCGCCTGCTTCACGCCAGCTCTGCACGCGAGGCCGGTTTTCTACAGAACCGTTGAACCGGGCGGTTTTGATGGAACAAGCCGGCTTTTGCGTTTACACTTTACACCACGATGCCTCTCATTTTTCTCGGGATGTGTGGGGAGTGGGGACAACCTGCGGGGAGGGGAATTTTTTTCCCATCTGGTTCTTTTGAGCGGCGACGGCGGCTGCTTTAACAGCGGCGGCGGTCGGCTAGATGCCATGGCGGGGTGAGCAGGCAAGCAGCCCGGCGGCACCGCGGTAGGCGAATAGGGCGGTGGCCGGAGAGACCGCCGGCGGCAAGCGAGTAGCCGAGCAGGGACTCCGCCGGCGGCGTCTCTAGTTCCCATGGTATTGCAGTGATGCCCCGGCGTTGCTCCTGTTATTCTTTGTGAGCTTGTAGCGGTGCTCCCGTCTCCTGCTCGAGTCATCGTCCCCACTGCGTGCACAAGGAGGCAACGCTAGATTTGGTACTGTGCTACTGTGTATGTTTGGTATTTGGATTCGTATACAATATGCTAATCTGTCTTTATAGATCAAATTTTTACTGTCACTTCCGTGCATTCTTATGAACAGATGGATGCATTCAGATTTGACAAGGTATAATAAGCCAATAAGGTGTATTTTGTTAAATGATTGCCATTTGACCTGTAGTACAGATTTAGCACTTGCCAGTGACTTGTGAACTTGAGATTTGAGAAACTATGAAGTAGTACGAGACTATGAACTGTATGAGTCACATGTTGAATATTATATGGTTATATGATTAAGCTGAGTTAGTTATGAGCTTGTTTTATTTGTGATCAAAATATACTGGTATTTATGAACTGCATATGCTCCGGTTCGAAGTATTTTTCACCGGTTCAATTCAACCGGTCCAAAACTATTGAACCGGTGGTTCAACCGATTTTTAACGGTTGAACCAATGAACCGACATCCTCACCGGTTCGATTGTCGGTCCGGTCCTAATAACTATGCCCCCGAGCGAGCGTGTGGTGCGCGCGCAGCGTGTCTGTTGGGTCGTTCCCAGACCCGTTTGGGAACCATTCCCAGGCCTGTTTTGTTTCGGGCTAACGTTTGGCCCACGAAACAACAGGCGCATCCGGTTTTCTCTCAGGAGCTTCAGCATTTGGAAAAAGTACACCGAAGGTCCCTGAACTTGTCATCGAGTTAAAAAAACGTCCCAAACCGCAAAACCAGATATCCGGTGTCCCTTAACTAATCAAAACCGGTCACAATAGATCCTTCGGTGGTTTTAATCCCGGTTTTGTCCTACGTGGCTGCTAAATCAGCGTTAGATCCTTCGGTGGTTTTAATCCCGGTTTTGTCCTACGTGGCTGCTAAGTCAGCGTGGCTGCTAAGTTAGCGTGGAACCCACGTGGACCCCACATGTCAGGGTCCACGTCATCTCTCTCTCTCCCTTCCCCTCTCTCTCTTTTCTCCTCGCTCACTCGCTGGCTGGCGCGCGCGGCCGCTGGGGGGCGCAAAGAGGGCACCCGCCGCGTCGTTGAAGTTGGGCCGGAGACGGCGAGGTAGGCCGCGACGGCGGCGGGGGAGACCGGGTCGGCGGCGAGGCGGCGGAGGAGGCGAGGGGTGGGGAGGGGAAGGGAAGGGGATGGAGTTGAGGGCGCGGCGGACGGCGGAGGTGGCGCGGTGGCCGGCTTGGAGCGGCGGTGTACGTGTCGCCTGGTTGCTGTCGCCGGCGGTGCGGGGGAGTGGGACCGACCGGAGCCGCCATGGCGCGCGTGCTTCCCCATCGCCGGGGACCGGGTCGGTGGCGAGGCGGTGAAGAAGGGAGGCGGGGAGGAGACGAGGACTAGCTAAACCTTTGCCGGCCGCTCTCCGCGCTATCGGCCGCTCCGCCCACCGCTCGCCCGGTCCTCCGGCAGGCCAGTGCGGCGGTTGGAGCTGCCGCCGTCGCTCCGCCCTCCTCCTCTCCCGCCTCGCCCCGGCGACCTCCTCCCGCGTGGTCGCGTGGTCGTTGGCGAGACGGAGGTGCCGGAGATCGTCAAGGCAGCCCAGGACGCGGTCAGCATGCATGCAATCCTTATCTTCTGCTGCTGCTTCTGCATCATCGTTTCAGTTTAAGTTTCAGTTTCAGTTAGTTGTGAGGCCATTCCTGTGCAATGTGCGTAACCGTGACCACCGTTGTGTCTAGGCAGTGGGCCAAAGTTGAGGACAAGTACGCCGTCACCGCCATCGGCGTCGCCGCGCTCGTCGGCCTCTGGACGGCCATAGGCGCCATCAAGGTATACGACGCGACACATATGCTTCCATATATATATATATATGATCTCTTACTCCTTCAAGTTCAGATACGATGCTTAATTTGATTTTCTTGGTAATCTGCATATCGGATTAGGCCATCGACAGGCGACAGGCTTCCACTTTTGCCCGGCGTGCTTGAGCTCGTTGGAATCGGGTATACAGGCATTACTGGGTAAGATAAAGGCCTTCAGTTGCAAATTTCGTTGTCACATAGGGAGAGAGGTAGTGTAAGATTGCTTCTCTTACGAGCTCCAATTATCATGTTTCGTCCGGAGGATGGCTTCGTCGGGACGCCTTCTCCCGCGTCGCCGCCGCCGCCCTCATCCGCTCCCGCCGCTCCTTCGATGGTTCCCGCGACGACGGTGCCGGTTCCAGGAGGTTGTCGCCGATGGCGGCGGCGGCGACTACGACGGAGACGCACGGACGCGCTACAGCCGCTGCCGCCGACGGAGCCGCTCCTGGTCAGACGCGCTACCGCCGCTGCTGCCGACGCGCCGACACGCTACCGCCGGTGCCGTCGACGGAGCCGACGACTTGTCTGGGTGTGTGTAGGAGGGAGGAAGAGAGGAGGAAGGGAGAGGAGGCTGACGTGGATAGTCTGACATGTGGGGTCCACGTGGGTCCTACGCTGACTCAGCCGCCACGTCGGATAAAACCAGGGTCAAAACCACCGAGGAATCTAAAGCGAACGGTTTTGTTAATTGAGGGATGTCCAGTATCTGGTTTTACGATTGGGGGATGATTTTGTATCTCGATGACAAGTTGAGGGACCTTGGGTGTACTTTTTCCTCGGCATTTTGGCCTCTTCTTTGTGTAAAACATGTCTAACATTTTGGCCAGTTCATCTTCACATGCCCTAATCTTTTTTTTTCAAAGAATTTGGTGCTAATCTGAATCAACGATGGGCTGTCTGTTACTTTCTCCGTTTCACAATGTAAGTCATTCTAGCATTTCTCACATTTATATTGATATCAATGAATTTAGATAGATATATATGTCTAGATTCATTAGCATCAATATAAATGTGAGAAATGCTAGAATGACTTACATTGTGAAACGGAGGGAGTAGTAAAGAAAACTTGGATACATATACACATCTCTTACAAAAACCTAGATAATGCCATCACCATATCTCTTTACTATCCGATAGCACAACACAGTTGGGCTTCCCCATGATCAGGGGAAAAAAAACAAGTGTGTAGATTTTCACTATTTCCAGTGAATGCCAAAATGCCATACCCCTCAATAAAAATGCCATCTTCTTTTCAAATTCCACAGCCAAGTACAAACCTCTGCTTGATGAAATTTTCTAATTGAACAAAATCATGCAAACAGAAAAAACAAAACCTTCACTGCTGAAATTTACTCCAATCATGAACGACCTGAAACCAACTTTCCAATCATGAACGACCTGAAACCAGTCCCCAACTTTTTTAGTATGGCTGACAAAACTAATTTTCCTTTAGTATGGGATACTACAGAAATCAAGTACGAATTACATTGTATTGGAGCATGCAGATTAGTTATATTTCCTGGTATTTGCTAGCAGAACAAACATGTACTTAGATCAGTACATGGACATTTCAGAGTAGTGATGTAAAATACACAAAACTATGAAAATACTTACAAAATAAACAAGTCATACAAAATTCTGGTGTGAAATTTAGCTTCTCTACCTTCCGCTGAGCCTTAGCCCTTTCTAATCTTGTTTAACTTTATTTCAAATTTGCAAACAAAACTATAGAATTAAAACAAAAAACATATTTCATAACTAGTAGATAAAAAACTGCCCATGTTTAGTAGCTGATAAACCTACAGAATTCTGGAGTGATGCATGCTAAACGCTGACAAAACTACATGTATGAATTCAGACAAAACTAATTGCAGACAAAATTTTTAAAAAACAGGTATTAAATGATAATAAAACTAATGATCTACTTACAAAACTAAACTGTATGAATTCAGGCAATATTAACTGGTGACAAAACTAACAAAACCAGGTACTAAAAATAGCTGACAGAACTAGAAAAATTCACATTGTTAGAAGACAAAATAGTAAGTAGCTGACAAAAACAAAACAAAACTGACAGAACCCATGTCAGTCCTTCATCTGTTGCTACAGAACTAATCTGCAAAAAAGAAGAGATTAATACCGTGTAAAATAGAAGTTTAAAAAGATATTTAAAATAGGATGTTAATTAAAAATATATAATATATGAACATAGATAACTGTACTTTAAAAAAAATCAAAAAATAAGAAAAATCCAAACCAGGACAACTTCTTCCAGGCCATATTCAGAAAAAAAAAAACTCAAGGCTGTAAATAAAGTAGTTATAGGTGGCATTCCTCTTCACAACGTCAGGCATGTTCTTCAGCAAACAAAATCAAGGATCAATACTATTTTCATCTGGCAGCGAGCCATGCATCAGATGTGATTTACCAGTTTGTACATACTTATTTTTGACCATATGTATGCAAACAATTCTAAATTCACAAAACTGAAACAATACAGCAAGAAAGTCCTCACTCCTCAGCACAATGGGATGCGGGAAGAGGATGAAAATCATGAACAAATGCATTCAGGTTGAGCAGAAAAGAAAATATGTAGTTCTTAATTTTATTGCTAAGTGAGACAGACAAACAGCGAGACATGTGCATGCTCCACAAATCCAGAGAGGAAGAGTAAGAGAGAGAAAGAAGAGAAGCTAGTGCCCAACACAACTTCCTCTCTTGGCAGTGGTTGATAATATCAATTAAAACAGAACATGCTCAGTACATGAGAACTAGTTTCTGTTAGTTCCCTTTAACCCCCTTTGATTCAAAGGAAATTTATAGGAATTTTAGAGGATTTTATTCCTATAGAAATTTTTCCTACAAAGCCCTTTAAATCAAAGTAATGAACCCTATGGAATCATATGAAATTCCTATGGAATGTCTCTTCCCATATAAGTTTTGGAGAAATTTTAACAAGAGGTAGAACCTCATGGAAAAAATCCTTTGAGTCTTTATCTCTCCTCAAATTCCTGTGTTTTTCTTATGGTCCAATCAAACGGTCATTCCAATGTTTTTCCTGTGTTTTGCAATCCTCTGTTTTACACTTACATTCCTGTCAGAATCCTATGTTTTTCCTATTCCTCCGTTTTTTCATTCCTGTTATTCAAAAGGGCCCTTAAGATTATAATGATAAAGTATTCTCTGAATTTTTGTATACACAAGTAACCAAGTTGGTGCAATATTACAACTAATTAGATGCTTGCTTATGAAACTAGGGCCTGTTCACTTTGATGAAAAAAAAACTGTCGGAGATATGGGCCCGGGGGTATGCGAAGTAAAGGGAAGTTATCTTCCCCTCCAGCCACGTGGCTCTGCAAGCTGGCCCCACTCTCACACCTCGCGAGTTGCGAAAGCGACGGGGGGCCTCGGGGTGGAGCGTCACCCCCTCGGGCTCTCCCCCTGCTTCGCTCCGAGGCCCTCGCCCAACTGCCATGTGGCGGGGGGAGAGAGAGAAAAGGGGACCCAGGCCGAACAGCCATAAATACGCGGCGCCCCAACTGTCCCTCACCGCATTTAATTTAATGCGGTGAGGGTAGACGTGCGGTGCCACCTAACTGACCCCTGTCAATCGGATGTGATCGGCCTGTTGCCGGTCATGTCCGATTGAACGGGCGGCCGTGCCCCCACGTCGCCTCTGTATCCGGTGGAGTAGGGGTAGGTATGACCCGTCCCATCGGAGCGTCACTCGAAGGAGGGCTACCACAAGTCTCCACTCATTTATGAAGGAATGATAGGGCTGTCCCTCGTGTCAGGCAGGGGCAGCGCTGGGTCCCACTCAAGGGCGGGCTTCTACTTAGCTTCCGGGCGAAGGCACGGATTGTGGCCCGGTCAAAGTAAAGTGGGGTCCCCCTCCTATGGAGGGGTAGGTAGAGGCGGCACATGTGGTATCTCCTTGAGATATAAAAAGAGGACATTGCACACCAATACAAGGGGACGACTCTCAGAAAACCTGAACTCTAGGAGGAGAAAGGCGAGAGCACTCTCCGGAGTAAAGGAACCCTTGTAATACTCATCCATAATCCCAAACACAGGAATAGGGTGTTACGCTCCATAGCGGCCCGAACCTGTATAATCCGATTGTGTGTAAGCTAGCCAGCAATCTTAGAGGCGGATACGTGATTTCTAAGAGGCGAGCCTCTGCCCCCGGCCGAACTCACGAAAGGGGGGTCTCACGACTCCCCACTATTGAGGTCCTTTCCTCGACGAAAACCTTACCAAATTTTGGCATTACCAAAATTTTAACATGGTTGCCAAAATTTTGGCAACTTGCCAAAATTTTGGTAGGATTTCTTATATAGTTGCCAAATTTTAGCAGCAAACTAAATGTAGCCACTTTTTTTTTCAACTTTACCAAAATTTGGTAAGGTTGAAAATGGCATCAAAGTGAATATGAATATGCCCCTAATAAAATTATTTCCATTCATGCAACTCCCCCTTAATGTAACTCTAATCTACATTTCTTGGAAAAGAATTTCTGCTTATGAAGATTCCTGATCTTCACAACAAATCTACACGCAGATAAAGAAAAAAAATGTAAATGCTCTAAACACATGTCCTCTAGTACTGTTGCTCACAAAACCTCCCCCTCACCCCACTGGAAATTTCAGGACTGAAAAAACTGCACTTATACAATCAACAGCCACAGATCAAAGCATTTATACAGTCAACAAAATAACAGACCGAGAACAGCGTTAATACATTAAACAGAAACAGATCGGGAGGGGTGGTGGGGAGGGGCAATACGATTGTGATTGCATCCAACTAATATATGTGAAATCGAATCAGCAAAGCAGCAGCAACACAAAAAAAAAATTTGCTCACCATGAGCCGAGTTATACAGATCTCAACGCCTGATATATTTGGATTCAAATCAGCAGCAACAGCAGCCGTTTTGCGATTCGCATCCCCTTGCCTGATGAATGCCAAACCGCCATGGATACCTCACCGGGCGCAGCCGAGTAAGGCATGGAGTCATGGACGCCTCGCCCCGAACCTTGGCGAACCCGAGCCTGCCTCCGCAGTGGCAACGGAGGGTGCTGCACTGCGCTCGTTGGCTGAGCCTTGCTGCGGCAAAGGCATCCTGCTCATGGCCTTGCTGCACGAGCGGCCTCCTCCCGCCGGTGAGGCCGCCGCCGGAATCGCCTCCTCCCCTCGACGACATTGCCTTTGAGCAGTGGAGCTGGAGGAGGCAACACTGTTTCAAAAAAAAAAAAAACGTGTTGTGTGAGAAATATCCAGAAGCCCTATTCGATCGGGCACCAATCTTGATGTCCATCCGACAGTTAGGAATTTGAGTGCGATTTGGAGACAAAACACGCTGGTGATGTATAGCAAAAACCATAAATAGAGGGGTTTAATAAAATTTAAAAGAAATAAAACTGAGATAAAAGAAGGGTTTTATAAAATTAAAAAGAGATTTAAAAGAGAGCTCTTAACTTTGCAAACAAAATTTAGGTCCAAAGTAAAAGAGATTAAAAGAAAACAAGGCTGCTCCAATGGAAAATCGAGAAGAGTGCAACTAAAAACTTTTCGCAAAAAATTTTTCTTGAAAAATTGAGTATGTTACAATATGTTTGGGAGAGGAAAGAAATACTCAGTTGCAGTAACATAGCAAATGCAAGTTCATATCACTACTTCTGCGCTACCAGAGGTATAAAGATGAAATCATTGATCTTTACAAATTAGAGCACATAGCACAGGATGTCCATGAACCTGCAAATGCGATCATCAAAATGCTGCCATCTACTTTGTAAAGTTTAAAAGGAACACTAATCAAAAGCTGAGTCCTGTCAAATTTACAACACTGAAATTTACATTGTTATCGTCCTCGACATGCTGTTTGCTCTGGTTGTGTTGCTAAATTTGCTTCTTATTCAGTGCTTGAGTAAATTTATCACAAACAATATTCTGTATCGTTCTATAATTCTATTGGTTTTCATTTCTAACAACAGAATCTCATTTCATGATAAGTGTTGAAGCTCATGTGTTTTCCCCTGTCTAGGATTGACTTATTTGTGCTCATTGTTCGTTAAAAATACCATTTACACTGGTGAGTTAACAAATTTTTATCCTATGTATATCACTCGCAGTGGAGCTTTGATTTTTTCTATTATAAACAGTGTATGGCTTCTTCTTTTTTTCTGTTGATGTACTTTTAGCTTTAGTAAAATTTCCATCTATTGACTCATGATAATTTGATATATGCGATAACTGCATCTTACTGTTCCAAAAAATTGTACCAAACTCGAAGGACTATAGCTTTCTCTTGGCCCCTGTTTGCCTCTTTTTGCTGAGGCTATGTGGCAGCAATTATATGAACTAGATACTGGGGCGCGCCTATTGCACGCCTCCTGTACGTTTTTGTTTTGAGTGTGTTTATACCTTTGTGTTTAGTTCACTTATGTAATATCACAATGCTTTGGTCAGTTTAGGGCCATCTGTTGTGCTGACCCTTGTGAACGTTGAGTGGAGCAACGAATCGTGGATTAGTCTGTTCTACCCTGCTATAAAATTAGTGAACCTAAAATTGCAAGGTTGATAAGCAAACCAACAGACAGTTAAGGTAGCATGTACATTATTGCAACCATTTCAGCAGTAAGCTCACAAGCTTGTGGAATAATGATCGACGAAAAGGTACAACGCATGTAGAAAATAATAAAATGTGTGGTACCTGGTTTCACGGTTGTACAGTTGTATTACTACAACATTGAATTGTATGATACATTTGAATTTTATCTAACTTGCTATGCAAATTCAATAGCATAGAGTTGGCTTAGATTAAATAGAAATGAATATACTCTATATTAGACTGAAGAGAGAAGATTAAGCTAATTAGAATTTGAAGATCCCTTAGTTGTACTAACAGGGAATAGTACTGAATTCAACAACTAAATTTTCTGAAGTATCATAGAAGAATGAAGGCATTTATACATGCTGATCTATCCAGCTTATGTTTAAAAGGGGATAGTAAACTGCTGCTCAGACACAAGTGAATAACACTTCAATAACAGAAGTTAGACTCATAGGTCATGTATATGTATGAATAAACTAACGCCAACCAGTTTACAAAACAAATTTCAGACCACACTGTACAGATGCCACATAGATCAATGAAAGTGGCATTGCACAAGTATCCCACCTTCCAAGCACAACCCATGGGAATGATAATGCACAGTGTGCTTACGGTTGGGATCATCAGGCATGCACTGGCCTCATCTACTAAACATGGGCAAGGCAAAGAGAGACATTACGAGCTTAGCAATTTGCGATGCCAACACGTTGTAGCAGGTTGTTCAAGATAGTAAAAATTATACCTCCCTTTAAACTCAAAAACAGAAACTTTAGTATATACTCCCTCCTTCCCAAATTGATCATCATATAATGGAATTCAAAATTTATCAAATTAATCATCACATAACCGCATAGACACGGATTTCATCGGAATACAATTAATGCAGTATGGAAGAATATGTGCATGCTAAGGTGTAATTAGCACGGTGTTTTAATTGATGCATGCATTGTAGGAGAATGTGTGCATGGTGATATGATTTAAATTATTGATGCATAAACATATATGATGATCAATTTAGGAAGGAGGGAGTACAAAGTTAACCCCACATAACAGCTTACAAATATGAGCCGTAATATTTGGTTTTTGTTTTGCAAAATCACATGAATTTATAAATAATTAGTTGGAACTATAGACCCTGATGAACCTATGCTTCCAGCTAAAGGTTTGATACTATGTTCAGGATTAATTTTCAATTTCTGGTAGAATTGAATTTGATGAATAATTAGTTTCTCATGATCGCTAATAACTTTGAGTTAAACATACATAATACAGTGATAGAATAATTTACAGCCAAATACTAAGTTCAGTAACCATATAGAAAGTTTGAACATGCAGACTTAGTAAGTCAAATAGCTGCTTAAGATCTTAGATTCCTGAGTTGTTTTTATCATGTACTCACATGTGCTCACAGAACAACTTGATGCTTGGTTGATCACAGTAGTATAGCCTCCCATCTGCTGACCATGGAAAAACAAATCAAGTTAGACGGAGGTTGATAGTTTATTTGTTGAAGAAGAGTCAATTCTTCAGGATTGATCATCTCGAGTCCTCTGTTGAGGATGGAGATTTCATAATAAATAAGTCTTAACCAAACTTGTTTATTCCTTTTTTCGAACTATATTTCGTTCATATGATAGAATATGTGTTTAAATAAGTTGGATCTTTATGGAGTCTTTCCCAATAAATACTTAAATTCTTTTATTCATATTTCTCGGAAGTTCGAACAGATCCAGCAGTCAGGACCCCAGAACGGAGCATGGCAGCAGGGAAATCCTAATTCATTAGGATAGCGTTGGTCACAAACGAAAATATTAATATCAACCAAACAAATAAGGGGGGAGGGTTAGGGAGGGAAAATAACATTAAACAAACGGAAAACAAAATAAAGACCTCAACGTCCAAACAACGAAGCAATCAGCAAATGGATTGAGTGAAAAACTGCAAGAAATAGCAGCAGACATATATTTAGTACAAGTATACTACTTCACTTGAGAGGGAAAAAAATACGTGTGCGGCAAGGACAACCGATCCCAGAGAAGCCGAACGATGAGGAGTAACATCGAGCTAGCATCTTATTTCTAGGACCAAAGAATGAAAGAGAGGGATATGAAACAAGTAAGCCACAACAGTGCACATAGAAGAAGCAACATAATAGAGACGTAGCAGCTGTCTCCGATTGTGTCTAATAATTGGCGCCACCGAGGTGACCGCTAATTAATATGCGTCCATGGTCAGTTGAAAATAATTAGCATCCATCTAGCACGATATTGTTTTAGATATCATAGTATGTAAATGTATTTGCAAGACCGGAGCCGGCCGGACCAGAACCAATTCACACAGCAAGCAAACGGACACTAAACATGCACCAAAACAACAAGAAGGAAGTAATAAATGTTGTTGGCCACCGGATGGTGCCAATGACTGCATCAGCCCAAGAATGCATCCGCAAACAAGCATCAATTGGGCAACATCTTTGTGACACACAAACATAAAATAAACAACACTAGCAAATCGACACGCCATTAAATCAAGAGGAGATAATTTTTTTTTTGAAAAAACAGAGAAAAATGAACCCACCGATCTTAGGGAATTTTATGATTTAGAACAAGGATATTACTCCACTCGAGAGGGTAAAAAAATAAGCATAGAGCAAGGACAACTAATCACAGTGGAGCCGACTGATGAGGAGTATGCTGAAGCTAGCATCTTATTTATAGGAGCCAAGAATGAGAGAAAGGGCAAGAACTGAATTGAATCCTCGTGAATGAAACAAGCAACCAACAATTGAGCACACATAGGAAGCAACCTAACTGACGCGTGACTTAGGTCCTGTTTGTTTCAGTTTAAGATTATTGTAATCTAGATTATTAAATCAGATTACTTTAAGCTAGATTATAATAAGCTGACAGAGAATAAACTGTGAGTTGTTTGTTTCTCTGGATTATTAGAGGTATCTAAGGGTAGTGGGTCTTTAGCCACTCAATAATATGGAAAAAGCTCATCTAGAAGAGATTATTGGGTTATACTAGTCTAGCTTATAGATTATAATAATCTACTTGTTTGTTCCAGTTTACTCATAATAATCTATATTATAATAATTCTAAGCTGAATCAAACATAGCCTTAATAAGGAGCCATCTAGACGACACGACACGTAGCAAAACACAGGGGGAATGAAACATGCACACCCATATATAACAACTCTTACAGAACCAATTTTATTTTTAAAAAGATAATCACCGAGTTCATCATTGGTTTATAATCATTTTTTTTCATGTCTATCTTTCTACTATTTATTTTTTTTTGGCAGAGAACACATTTGATCCTTTCAACAATTTTAATAACTAATCCAATTTAAATCTAGTTTCCAACCACAAACCACTTTTGTTTTTGCATAATTCAGACTACCCCTGATTTTTTTATTTTAGCCTACTTTTTCGTATCTCCTCTGTTTTCCCAGACAGGGCTACGAATTTCAAACCAACTTGAAACCGTGTCGACCATCCATATCATAAAATAAACAAATCTATCCACTAACAATTTGACATGATATTAAATCAAAAGGAGAGAAAACAACTCGAAAAAACAGGGAATAAGGAACCCCACCGATATTAGGGAATTTTATGATTTGCATTGGTGCTGAGGTCAAACCCATACAACCTTTGTGGTTGCATCTGACAGGCCGAATCCTCTCCGGATCCCGGTCCATCTCCACCGTCCATTCTCTCCCATCGCTCCACGCTCCCTGCGCGGCTGCGCCTCCTCTCCTCTCCTCTCCTCGCCGCCACCGCCGCGGCGCCGCCGCCGGCCTAGACTCCCCCCCCCCTCTCTCTCTCCCTCTCCCTCTCTCTCCCATCTCCTCTCCGGTCGAGCGCGCGTGCGGCCTCCCAATCCCGACGCCGCCACCAGCCCAAACGCACACGCAGACACCTCGTCCGGCTCGGAGACTCAGCCCCGGCTCTCGCATCAGGCGGAGGCGGGTGTTGCGGAGCTTGATCCGTTGCTTTTGGCTATTCCGCTCCTCACCCGGTGCCGGGAAATCGGCGAGTTGTCCCCCCCTTGTTCTTCTTGCTATCCGGGTCCGTGTGATGAACGGCGGCAAGAAGTTCGGCGGCGGCCGCCCGCCGACGGGGACTCCGTCGCTGGCCTGGTCTTCCGTCGTCGTGGTCGTCTCCCTGCTTGCTGGAGCGTCCATCGTGCACAACATCTACAAGCCCAACATGGTATGCCTTTTGTCTACACCTCCTGGCCATGCGCGCAACCTGTTTGACGTAATGCCTGCTCTGTTCTGCTACCGGCGTGCTCATTGTTTCTGCTCTTGTAGACCATTCCACCGGTGGAGAGCACGGATGGGGGCAAGCAGAGCTAGACAAGTTCAAAGGTTCGTGCTCAGAGTGTTAGAGGTTTCGTTTCTTTCTCGGTATATGCATCCTCTTGTGAGATGAGGCCGACGGTAGTCTTATTCTGTCAGAATTTTGAGAGCCAAATTAAGCCTGCAGTATTGCTCGCTAAGTATTTTTTTAACAGACTGCTGCACTGCATTTTATTTATTCTAGTACTTGGTTAATTGGTGATTGTCTCCCAAAACATTATGATCCCAGTCTTGAAGGAATGCAACTAGAGAAAGGGGATGAGGCAATTTTATCCATTGCTTTATGGAGGAGAATGCAGTTGTTTGCTTTTCTTTTCAACGTGCTCATTAATTCAATGTGGAATAAGTCCATTTGACTCTAGTTGGAAATATAGGACAAAAAGTTGAACTGACAATCAACTTGGCCAGGCTACTGGTTCGGTGATTTAGGCATTTAGCTGCCCGACCGGCAGTTCATCGGTTCAACCAGTGGTTTTTATAGATCAATATTTTATTTGTTTATATTTTATGTTAAAAATACAAGTAAATGTTGCTGAATATTATAATTAATATATATCTCTATAATTCTAGAGGGAAAAAAAGATGAATTTCTGATAAAATAATGAGGCATAAATAAATATATATTTTTTGCCGGGAGAGTATTTAAATCCAGATCTGATAATAAAAGAGAAACCAAACAAATTGTTTCAATGTAGGCAATCTCACAGATGTACAGATGAAGCAGCTCCTCTGGGCATAGGCTCAAGTACAGCCAGTGTGCAGCCCTAACCACTGGGAGCTTTGGACCTAAGCAAACCAGTAGTCATTTCGACATATCGGTAGAAGCTGCGGCACCTCACCTTGGCTGAAATTAATTTTGACAAATTGACCCTTTAGAAAAAATATATGAAAAATGGACCTAGGCCAGAACTTATTTTAAAAATGATACATGAAACTCTGCCTAGCTTGGTGCTGACCTCCCAATCTCAGCACCAGGCTCGTTGGAGTTGAACTAGGGGACTTAACGTCGAGTTCATTTTTAAAATAGGTTTTCTGAAAGAGTCAAATTTGTCAAAATTTCGGTCACCTTGGACTGAGAGGTCACAAATGAGTGAACGGTGGGAGAGGAACCGATGAGGTCCGGAACCTCGCTGGTCGTGCTAGCTGCCTCGCTGTGACGGCCATCGCTTGGGACGGTGATCTAGGCCCTGTTTGGGGGAGCTTAAGATTATGAGAATCTGCTAGTTGGTATCCAGCTTCCGAGAATCTGGAGAAGTTAGGTTTTTCAGTTTTTGGGTTCTAGTTCATTTTCTGGAGAAGCTCGGCATGTAGCTTGTCGTGGCCTCGCCAAGAAGCCTGTCAGGTGTCAGCAATCAGCATCTTACCAGACAAGCCCATCTCCACTCTCTACACTATGACACTCTAGAGCAGTGTTTTGGGGCTCTAAAGGCAAAAGGAAACTCTAGGCAATTGGCACTTATAGCCCTAATAACTCAAACTAGATGTTACACAAACGCAGTCAAAATTTACATGGGGGTAAACGGTCCGAACCTTTGTACCTTTTCAATATTATCCACTGTGCAATTAGCCAATTCTCTGGTAATGCATGTGTACATTAAAAAACATGTTTATTCTTGAAAAAGATCGGATGGCTATTTACTCTGTTGGCAGAACTGAGAGGCATCAAGCATGTTGCTTGCTATTTTCATGACCAGAACAGGGTCTAAACATACCTGAGTAACCTCGTTTTTTTTTATTTCAAGTACATAAACAATATCGTTTATTTGCAGAACTGGTACCTTTTCTTCCATAAGACAATGGTTATTGTACTCAAAAGGTTAATTTTGTAGTTTGAAATATCACTTTATTACCTTGTGAAACTACGAGAGGTAGAACCAATGCATTATTCAAGATGGCGACATGGCGTACCTCTATTAAGCTAAACTGAATGGAAGTTAACATCTAGAGCAACCAAAAATAATAATTATGCACTGCAAAAACTGTTAAATGGTTCGGTATGCAGTATCAACAGTAACAAGGCAACTGAATCGAAGGACTAAATAATATTGTACATTGCATGGATTGTTGGGATGGTGTTACGAACCGACTACCGAGAGAGTAGTTTGGGATTTGTGGGCAGAACGAGCCAAGGAGAAGGAAGAACAGAGGAAGAACTCGAGAGAGATAGTTCGGGAGAGGAGATAGATTTCAGAGATAGTTGTTGTGATTACAAATTCAATGATTCTCTCTTCTCCCCTTCGATGCTTATATATTTGCATCGGGTACAGCTGGAACTCCCACCCATTCAGAGCCAGCTAAGCGAACATTTGCCTTTGTCACGCGCGTGGAACGCAGCCTCTCTCTGACGGGATTATCCGTTGCCGGATGGTGTACAGTAGCCGTAACACTCCCCCGTTCTTTAGAGCCGGCTTGTCCCCAAGCCGGGGCACTGCGTCTTCCTAAGTAGCTTCAGCTAGGATTGTCCTGTCCACCTGACCAAGAGTTGTTTAACCGTGCCAGCGCCTTTCTTGGAAACTCGCCGCGCCAAAACTTGAACTGGACCAATTGTTCCTGATTGGCTAGAGGTACGAACAGGATTTGATGGAGTTGGAGGCAATGCCTTGCGGAGCTGTGACACATGTACAACAGGATAGATAGCACAACCAGTAGGCAACTCCAATTGATACGCCACAGTACCGACTTTGCTCACAACCTGAAAGGGGCCAAAGTAATGAAAAGCTAACTTATGATTAGCTCATGATGCCAAGGAAGTTTGCGCATAAGGTTGAGCCTTCAAAAACACCCAATCTCCAACACTGAAACCCTGTCAGAGCGATGTATGTCATCTTGCCATTTCATACGTTGTTGTGCTCGCAGCAAATGCTAACGAAGAAGGCCTGTAATCATTCCCTTCTCCTGCCGCCATTCCTCTAGATCTGAAACTGCACAAGTAGCTCCATCCAACGCACCGAAATGTCGTGGAGGATGACCATACAATACCTCAAACGGAGATGTCCCCAAAGCTGAGTGATGTGTAGTGTTGTACCAGAATTCTGCCAAAGCTAGCCTCCGTGACCATTTGGAAGGACAAGCATGGACAAAGCATCGCAAAAAGGTCTCAAGGCACTGGTTGATATGCTCAGTTTGCCCATCCGTATGTGGGTGATAAGCCGAACTCATTTTCAACTGAGTATCAGCAAGCCGAAATAGTTCAGTCCATAATGTGCTGGTAAAGATGCGATCACGATCTGAAATTATTGCTTGGGGCAATCCATGAAGCTTGTAGATATTGTTGAGATATACCAGCGCCACATCCAAAGCTGTAAATGGATGAGCTAAAGCCACAAAATGAGCATAACGACTGAATTTATCCACCACAACCAAAATTCAGTCAAATGTAGAAGATTTCGGCAAACCTTCAATAAAATCTGAGAGAGACCGTTTGCCAAGCATGATCAGGCACCGGTAATGGTTGTAATTAACCTGGATACTTCACTCGTTCTGCCTTTGCTTGAGAACAAACAGCACATTCAGTCACAAACGTATGCACCGCTTTCTTCAATCCCGGCCAAGCAAACAAACGCTTGATTCTGCTGTATGTGACCTGAATTCCTGAATGGCCTCCAATAACGCTAGAATGCAAAGCCATCAGAATTTTATGCTGCAATTCAGAGTGAACACCTATCCAAATTCGACCCTTGTAACGCAAAATACCATTCACCAGAGTATAATTGGGATATTTGTCAGGTGCCAACAGTATCTGCGCAAGCAATTGTTGAGTAGCAACATCCTTTTTTTTTTGAAAGGAACGACGACAGAAGACCTGCCGGAATTTAATTAAGGAAAAAAAGGAAAAGTTTACAATCCCAGAAATGGGATGTCAAGTCCAAAGACAGAAGAGAACAATAAGGGGGCCTAAAGGCCGATCTTCTAAGGTCTAGATCTTCCATGACAAGATGGGCTACCTGATTTACTGTACAGGAATGATTATTGAAAATTCTCCTATTTCTTTCTAGCCAAATATTCCACTAAGTAGTTAACAGTGCTCCTCTAACGTCCTGCTTTTGATTTGTCGATCCATCTTGATTTACTTGGTCCCACCAAATAGAGATGTTCGCCGGCTATAGGGTAGGGACTAATAGATTTCGCCAGGAATGAACGAGAGTCCAAACTTCACTGACAAACACAGTCACAGAAAAGATGATTTGTATCCTCGAATGCAGACGTGCAAAGACAACAAATCCAGTTGCACGGCCAGTGACGCCTTAGCAGGTTTTGGGCTGTTAGGGTTTTGTGATGGAGGATCAACCACCCGAAGGATCACATTTTTGGCTCAGCTGGTGACTTCCATAGGGCATCGAAATCCAATCGTGCAAAAGATCCTGCAAATTGATAGGAGTAAGCTTCTTTACTAGAGTAAACCCCAGAAGGATTCCAGTTCCATGTAATTTCATCCGGTTGCTGGGAGAGTTTGATATCTTGGGTCATTCCCCCCAATTGCACTAGGTCGTGCAGCTCTTCTACTGTCGTGAATTGTCGAAAAGAAACAATCCAATTGTTTGACGAGATTTCAACTTGGACACATCGTTGCTTTAGTTTGTCTAAGCGAAAACAGAGAGGGGCAACATCCTTTGGACATAATCCGTTAAGCCAGTGATCGTTCCGGAAACTTGTTCTTGCCCCATCTCCTAACGTGATCTTAGTTGCTGCTTGGAATAGTCTCTTGTCAGAATCGTCGCACGGCAGAGTCATTCCGGCCCAAGGTTTATCAGATTATTTCCAGTTGAACCACAACAAGCGGAGGCAAAGGGTCCTCGAGAATTTCTCGAGATCGGGGATGCCAAGTCCCCCAAGTGATTTTGGTCTGCACACTGATTGCTAATTAACCAAGCAGCTTCCTGGGTTGGTGTGGTCAGGATCCTCTCCCTTCCAAAGAAAAGATCTCCTAAAATGATCAATCCTCTTGAATACCCATTTTGGCGTTTGTAGAACTGAGAGATGATGAATTGGCATCGAACTGAGAACTGTCTTAACTAAAGTTTCTCGGCCTGCCGAAGTGAAAAAATGTCCTTTCCAGGTGGGGAGCCTTGCACCAATTTTTTCAATCAAGGGAAGAAAATCAATTTTTCTCAGTTTACGGAAATGAAGGGGTAGACCGAGATACCGACAGGGGAAGGACTTTGATCGTGCCAGGAAACATTTGTAGTAGAGGAGCGAAATCAAAGTTGTCACACTTGATTGGGTAAATTTCTGTTTTACTGATGTTTGTGTGCAAACCTGATACTTCAGCGGAGAATTTTAGTAAAAGATTTAAGGCAGTGAAGCTCCGAAGGGTCGGGTTTGGCAAAAACCGCTACATCATCAGCATATAACGAACAACAGAACCTGTTGCGATTCCCATCCATTGGTGGAAGAA